CCACCCGATCTTAAAAGCGAAACCGTCCCCCGCGTCTTACGGCGGCCGCCTCGGCTGGCCCCCCCTTCCCTCTTTTTCGAGAATGAACCACATCATCAAGCAGAAGATGGAAAACCAAGAATTCGTCCAGATCGCGACGCTCACGTTCCGCCCCGCGCTGCAGGCCGACGGGCCGGACCGCCCGCCGGCGTCCTTCTACGACGTGTCGGCGCAGGTGCAGGCCGTCCCCGGCGCGAGGGCCGTCTACCTGGGCCAGCAGATGGAGCGCCCGGACCACTGGACCTGGGCCGTGCGCTGGGCCTCGGACGCCGCCCTCGACGCCTTCCTCGCCTCGCCCACCTTCACGGGATGGCTCGCCGACTTCCGCGCCCTCACCGACTCGTACGTCTTCACGCGCGCCCTCCTCCGCGGGGACGCCGCCGCCGCGCTCGGCGCCCCCTGCACGGAGGTCTTCACCGCGTACGGCGCCACGAGCGACTGGCTCGACGCCCGCATGAAGCCCTTTGCCAACAACGTCAGCGCCGGCCGCCTCGAGGGCCTCCACGGCTCCGCCTACGGCCAGTTCGACCTCCTCACCCAGGGCGGCGTCGAGGCCCCCGCCGGCATCACCGTCAGCTTCATCCTCGGCTGGGACTCCAAGGCCGTCCACCTGAGCCACCGCGGCGAGGGCAAGTGTACGTTTCCCTCCTCTTATATTGTCTGTTGCTTCGTAAAACGTACATTGCTCACACGTGCTCCTCCGCAGTAATCGACAACAACCTCCACTACGTCAACGACGACCGCAAATCAACCGACATGGTAAGAAGACCACCATCCATCCATCCAGCTGCTGCTGTCAACCTCCCCCCTGCCATCCGCGACGTTGCAACGCGCTGACCCGGTGCCCTCTTCCCCCGCCCGCAGTACCACGTCATGCTCAAACGACTCTGACCCCATCCCACGCGTGCCCGCCTGCCGATTGGGGGAACATGAGAGAGAGCCAGCGACTGATTTCCGGCTGCCCGAGGGACGGCCTCAACATTCATCATTTTTAGCGGTTGCCTACTACCACACCTCCTTCAGGTATTCTGTCATCTTGGATAGCTCAATCTATCTCGGACATGTCGTCCCCTCCTGGCTCACCCGAGCCTCTGCTAGGCAGCCAGCCGGCATGCCAGGTACAAGACGACCGCACCCGCCCAACGCCATGAGAGAACCGTATGTGCTATTTGAACAAAGTACAGGAGCTGCCAGAAGATGCCGGCCGCGCGTATATTCCCTTTGGCCCTTTGACAAAAAAGTAGAAGCAATCGACAACTGTCGAAGGAAAAGCTGCCCCCCTGCCATATGACCCTCAATCCAGTAACCACCTCAAGCTGCCGTACAGTCCTACTGCCACCTGGCAGGCGAACCGCCCTGTGCTTACAACGGCGGTATTGATGCATCGAGTATTCGTGCGGCGGGCATCGTCGGCCGTAGAGCAAGCCCCGTGGGCCTGGTAGAAATTCGTCTCGCGTTGCCGTTACGCGAGGTACAGTAGCAACTCGGTGGATGTCCATCCCTTTTCCGTCCAATGCCACCAAAGCTACTGCTTGTTAACCACTCAAACATGCGCCCCTCGTCCTCCGTCTTCCGCCCTGTAATCGGCATGCGCTCGTGTGCGTCTCGCCTCGACTCGCCCGATTAGATTCGGTGCTTCTCGGATTCTGATGTGTGACTCGTTAGAAAGGGAGTTCACCCTCAATGGGGGGACTTCAGCCATACCAAGGCGAGAGTACAGCAAGTACAGAGCCATTCGGTTGCACTCTTCGGTTCCGGTGACCGTCACGAGCCGTTCATTGCTATTGTCCTGCGGTTCGTTAATCTTGATCACACTGCCGCTGAGCTGGCGGATTTCGTTGATCTTCTGGCCACCCTTGCCGATGATGGCGCCGACCATGTCATTGGGAATGTAGATTTGCTGGGTGACGGGTTGGGCGCCGGGCATGCCGCCTGGCATAGGCTGACCCTGGGGGCCACCGTGAGGCTGCGGGCCGGCGTGGTGGGCAGCGTGAGGTTGGACATGAGGGCCAGCACCATAGGCCGGCTGGGCACCGCCATAGTGGATAGGCATGGACGGGCCAGGAGGAGGAGGTCCCTGGGCGTAGGGCTGGTGGTAGGGGCCGGGAGGCATGTGAGACCGACGCTCTTGGTTGCGAGCGTAGTTTTCGGGACGACCGTAGTGTCCTCCGGACGGGAAGGGGTTGTAGGGGACAACCTGCATGCCGCCGGGAATGGGGCCAGCCGGACCGCCGCTGCGAGTCGCGTAGGCCGATGAAGCCGGGCCTCCGAAGCGCTCGTTGAGTTGCTCGACCAGAGTGCTGCCGACATAGTAGGTGGCGATGTGCACGGCATCGGCGACGCCCATGACGACGAGGGATCGCTCAGTGGAAAAGGGCAGGCATGAATCCGAGGCGTTGAGCCGGGCGCCAGAGGCATCCTGGATCTCCTTGATTCTAGCACCGCCCTTTCCAATGATGGAGCCGATCAGAATGTGAGGGACGAGGAGACGAAGGGGGTACGTCTTGGACGCAGTCGTCGACTTCTCATTGAGCGGCTCATTGTTCAGCGTGCGAATGATGAGGCCAAACGCCTGTAGGAAACGAGTCAGCTTCTATGCACACGTACGGGAGGTGGCGGGGAAGGGAGCAGTCGTACCTTGGCGACGGCGTCGACAATGCCGCTAACGGTCAAGATGCGTTCAACAGCGCCCTTTTGGTAGTCGCTGACGGTGCACTTAGCTCCAGAGAGCTTCCGGATGTTGGACACATTTTCGCCGCCCTTGCCGATGATGGTGGCAGCCTCGGGACTGGAGATGATGGCTCGGATGTGGATCCAAGCGGTCTCGTCGTTGACAGAAGCGTTTGCGGTCGGCTCGGCAGCGGCAGCGGGCACCGCAGGGACAGCGGTGGCCTCGGCGGCGGCGGCGGTTGTGTCTTGGTCAGGCTTCGTGCCGTTGGTGGTGTCGCTGGCGGCCAGGGTTGCGTCGTCGGAAGGCTCCGGGACCTCGGCCTCAAGCTCGCTCTTGATGACCTTGTCCAGGGCAGGACGCTTAGCGTCTGGTTGATCGCCGGCGCGCGAGGGGGACGAGGCCTCCTCGAGAGGGCGCTTGGCCGACTGGGTGGGTTGCGTCGGCGAGGCAGACATGGCTCCTTTTTGTAAGAGCTTCACAATAGTCGTGAACGGGGATAAGGTCTCGTGGAAGCTGGTCTGCTGGTAATGGCAGGAGGTTTAAAGGCCTCGTGCGTCTCTCTATTCTCGTCTTATCTACACTCAGAGGGTTTTCCAAGGAAAACGTGCTGTGTGTAGTGACGAGGTCGCTGGGGTCGGAATGTGTCTGTAGAACTCGTGAAGTGACCTGACCGGTGGCGCGTGGACGCGAGAGGTCGGGGCAGGATTGAGCAGAACGACGGAGCGGAGCAGAGCAGAGCAGTGAAGCGTGGGGTGGTGAAGGATGCGACCAAGGGTGATCCGTTTCTCGACTCCCGCTCAGGCGCTTCAGCACTTGTTCTGTAGACGCGACGTTTGAAGTGGCGCGCGAGAGCCCAGCTTTCTCCTCTGGGTGACGACCCTGTGGACGGTGGTGGACTGGAGGTGGCGGGTAGGCAGACAGGCTTGTGAGGATGGAGGCTGCGAGGAGACGTGAAGCGGAGTTGGAGAGGTCTTGCAAGCAGAAGAGGCAAGGTATGGCGTAAGTAAGCGGCACAAGGAGAGATTAGAGTTGTTGCTCTCAAGCAAACCTTTGTCTGTTTTCGGTCACGGCCCGCCTAGATGCCCCACGGCGGCTGTGGCAGGCACAAGGAACGCGGGTAGAAAGTCAAAAGTAAAAAAAAAAAGTCGCGGAAGGGAAGGCCTGGCCGATCCTGCAGCTGGAAACTGATTGCCGGACACAAGAAGAGTCGGAGGCGATGGGCGCAGGGAAATGGCGCCGAGCCGAGCCTGCAGATGTTTGCTACAGGCCCGAAGAGGGCGGGGGGGAACGATACGATGCCGCGGCGCGATGAAGGAGCTTTGGGGGGCAGAGAAGAGCGTTGGGCTCAAACGAGACACAAAGGTAATGAAGGGGGAGGCGACGAGATGGGGGTTTCCTGGTGGCCAACGGGGGTTGATGCCGGTCAGGAGGGCACGTCGCGGGTGCGTTTTGGAGATGAGGTTTGGTGGAGGTTGCGTCGAAACGAAGGCGTTGGGTGGGCGAGGAGATATGCCCACTGTGCGGCGGATCACGTGGGGGCCTGCAGGCGCGGCTGATTGCTGGCTGAAGTTGGCGAGTTTGCACTGTGGTGACGCACCGTGTCCTGCATCAGCGCGAAGCACGGCTCAGCAGTGGCGCCTGAGGCAGGACGGGACGGGAGGTGCGGAAGGCGGCCAGGCGGGTCACGGATGGAGCTCCAGTGCATTCGGCTGCAGAAGCGCTAGGGGGCCCCAGCGCCGGGCAGAGGCAGGTGCGCTCCACAGTGCCGAGAGGACGCAAGCAAGCGCTGAGAGGCGAAGCGCTGGGGGGCGCCGCCTGCCAGTGCTGCCTCAGGTTAGGCCGACTGCTACGCTACCTCACTTCGCCATAGCTTGGGATCATCCCGGCAGTGTATGCCTTCTTACCGACAGACTGCAATGTGATGAATTGGTAATAAAACGCCGGTGGTTCAGCGGCTGAGAAATGACTCGCCCTTTTGAGTCTTTCTTTGCGTCGAGGCTAGAGGTGCGCAAAAATGCAGCTCGCAGCTCGTATGGAAGCAAGCAAGCAAGCAAATGACAAACAGCACGGCGCCTGGACCTGCCCGTCGGCGGGTGGGTCAGACACTACGCGGGCTGCCAAGGCAGGACAGGAACCACACAGCACAACACCCGGCGCTCATTGTTAGCAACTTGGCAGCAGCTTTGCCTTCCGCTTGCATGTCGCAGGCAGTTCTGCAAGCCTCAAACCATCACCCTGCTCCCCAGGCACAGATAGCCCGTCTGTCGGGGCTAACGCAAAGCGAGCGGGTCACTCGGCTGGGCGTCCCTGTCCGCGCATGAACTGCGGGCGAGTTTGACGCGCGCGTTGAAACAGGACGCGACGAGGGCCTCCCTCTGCCCAGTGCGCGCGCGCTCCTCGCCGACTCCCTCTCAGTCGGCCATCGTGGGCTCCCCCTTGCTGCATACACAAAACGCGCCATGGACGGCAGGGCGCGCAGCGCGGAGGCGCAAGATTATGCCGCAAGCTTGGAATACACGCTCAAGGAGCTGCAGCGCAAGGTCAAGGAGCACGAGACGACGCTCAACAAGGTGCGTTCCCTGCCAGCCCCCCTACCGCGACTGACGCACAAAGAGGTTGACAAAGAGTTCCGTTCGTGACAGCTACGCTCCAAGCACGATGACACGGCTCTGCTCTCGCCCCACGCGCAGGCCAGCGTGCTCAAGTCGGCACTTGAGGAGGTGACCAACTCCGAGCCCTTCCTCCCCTCCCCGGGGTCGGTCCTCCCCGCCCTGGTGGCGCTGCGGAAGACGCACCGGACCATTGTAGAGTCCAAGGCCTACCTCGCCGCGCAGGGCTCCGAGACGGACCGCGTGCGCAAGCAGCTGGAGACGAACCGGGCGGGCTTGCGGGACCAGCAGCTCCTGACGGGGGCGCTCGAGGCGCGCATCCAGACGCTGCGGCACGAGATCGACTCGGGAGCTGCTGGGCGGCCCGAGGATGGCGCCAAGAAGAGGATGGCGGAGCTCGAGGCCAAGAAGAGGCGCTACGACGCGGGGACCAAGAAACTCATGAAGTCGCTGCTGGGTTTCATCGACAACCGCCTCGCGGCCATGCTAGCGGCCGAAGAGCTCGGCGGGCCCGTCGTGGGCGATCTCATGGACATTGACTCGGACGACCTCGCCGCGGGGTTCAATGCCGCGGGCAAGCTCAAGCGCGTCAAGGAGGGTGCCAAGGCAAACGAGGACAAGCGGCAGCGTCGCATCGACGACATTTGGGGCGCAGGGGGAGGTGATGGAGACGGCACGACAGCAGCGGGTGGCGAGGACGAGGTCACGGCGGCGGGGAGGGAGATGCGGGCGCTCACCGAGGAGCTGCTCAACGCGCTGGCCGAGGCCAAGGGCGACAACTCGGCGTCGTACGTGCAGCTCGGGCGCGAGTCGGCAGCGGCGCGGTTCCTGGTGCGGTCGCGGGTGGCGCAGTTCCATCCCAAGGACGCAACGAAGCTGCGGCTCGTCGATTTCGGCCGCGAGCTGGAGGATTGAGCGGGCCAGGCCCCCACCACCACCATCGTGTACGAGTAAAGGTATTGCGTCAGCCTCCGGTAGTGGTAAGTGCGAATGCGATCGATCACGTAGCAAGATAATGCGACTACGTATATCCACTGGCGACGGTAGACTTGGCATACGAAATACTAGTAATAGCGGCAGTGAATGGCGATTGCGGCTCTGCTCCACTGTCCACAGAGGTTCGGCACTTGAGCTGCCGCGCTACCAATTGCGCGATGTGGCTCCGCTCCTCTGCAAACGCCCTGCGCGGCGCCGCATTCGGCACCACGAATCCATCAATCAATCAATTGGACGCTCGCTGCCTGCCTGCGAGCGTCTTGGTGCGAGCATGGCAATCGCCATGGGCATTTCGTCATGATGGGCCTGGGCCCGGCCGGGCACGGGCTTACGCGCGAGGTGAATTGGTTCCTTCGCTGTGTGCGACAGTGGACAGCCATCCCGGGCCCTTGTCTCTAGTGTTGGCCTGCTGCGCTGTGCTTGGGTGTGCCTGCCCATCCACTGTCTGGGCACTTTACGCGGTTGGTGCCGCGAGGCGCCGCCCATTGGCCAATGGGTGGGCGGGATGCGTGAGACATGGGCGTTTTCTCGCATTCCTGCCCCGCCAGAACGCTGGGTGGTCCGTCGCGCGCGACGCGTCTCACCCGACCCTGCCATCCTGCCGTCCTGCCACCGCCCTCAATCCTGTGCTGTCTTTCCCAACCCTCTGCCACGCGCTCGCCACCTCCTCGCTCAACCCCCAAAAACCCTCACATCCAGCGCAGTAGCAAAGCATGTCCACCGTCCCCGAGTCCAACGGCACCACCATCGCAGACACCACCGCGAGCGCCATCTCCTCCCCGCCCGCCAAGCGCATCAAGACGACCACAGCCGACGACGACACAGACATGGCCGTCGAGTCCGCCCCCGTGCCGCCCGCTGCTGCTGCCGCGGCGGTGCCGGCCCTGCAGGTCAAGAAGCTCTCCGACAAGGCGCGTCTGCCTACCCGCGGCAGTGCCTTTGCCGCTGGCTACGACGTGTACGCCGCGCGCGACACGGTCGTTCCCGCGCGGGGCAAGGTCCTCGTCGACACGGACATTAGCATCGCCGTTCCCGCCGGCACATGTGCGTTACCGCCCTCTCTTTTGTCCCCTTGCCTTGCCTTCAAGAAAGCCATTGTTATGCTGGCTGAGTGAGTTAGCATGTGATCGACTGACTGACTGGTTTTCCTTTGGGTAGACGGCCGCATCGCCCCCCGCTCCGGCCTCGCGTCCAAGCACTTCATCGACACGGGCGCGGGCGTCATCGACGCCGACTACCGCGGGCAGGTGAAAGTGCTGCTCTTCAACCACGCCGAGGCCGACTACGAGATCAAGGAGGGCGACCGCATCGCCCAGCTGGTGCTCGAGCGCATCGTCACCCCCGACGTGGTCGAGGTGCAGGAGCTCGAGGAGAGCGTCCGCGGCGCGGGCGGCTTCGGCAGCACGGGCAAGCAATAAGGTCACCAGGTGTCTGGTGGTCTCGTCCACGTGGGCGCGCGCGGGATGAATCAGTAGGAGCGTTGGTTTAGATTTTTGCTTTTGTCATGACGATGCCATGGGCAACGGATGTTGGATGGAGGGGCATTGGCTCGGCGTGATCAACTTTTGGGGCCAAACAGGTACCCTGGATTAGGACGGAATAATCGCCTGCAAAGAGCATGACGGGAAATGGAACGGTCTCGCTGGCGTAAAGCCGCGGCATGAATAGAGAGATATGATGCAAACTTCTATCGCAATTCTTTTGCAAAAAATTTCTACACGCGCGTCTGTGTCTCTTCTCTATCGCTATCAAATGCTCACACATATGGTCCGCCGTCGCCACCCGACCGCCGCCCCGCCCGCCGGGTGTCTATATCGCCTTGGCTCTAAATTCCGTGGCCGGCGCACGCAGGCAGTCGAGGTTCCGTACCAGCTGCAGCTCCGCGGCCTTGGTCTTGACGTAGTGCGCCTTGGACTCGTCGGCGCGGTCCCCGTCCGTCATGGCGGCGCGCGTGCGCTCCACCACGGCGGGCATGCCGTCGCGCGTGCGGGACAGCACCTCGTGCATGCTGGCGAGTACCTTTTCGGTGGCGCGGGCGAGAGGCAGCTCCAGGGCGGGCACGTCGTCGCCGCTGAGCCAGCTGGCGCGGGCGCCGAGGTCGGCGTCGGCGGCGGTGGCGACGGCCTCGCGCATGCGCGACGTGATGAGCGCGCCGAACATGTCGCCCGTGCCGCAGAAGTAGCAGTCGATGGAGGGGAAGACGATCTTGAAGAGGCGGGCCTGGCCGCGCGAGTCCATGCTGGAGCCGACGACGCAGAGGTGGTCGGGCGGGTGGTCGGGCGCGGAGAGGCGCACGGATGTGATGACGACGTGCGGGATGTGGTACTTGTCGTGCAGGGCCTGGATGGCGCGCGAGAGGCTATCCATGTCGGTGATTTTGACCTCGGACAGGAGTCTGGCGCCTGGGCGTCAGCATACGTCATCATCATCTTGGTGCTCACAGGGCAAAGGGGGGTCGTACTCGGCCTCAAACTGGTTCGGCAAGATGAGGTCCGCGTATGGCAGCAGGGACTTGTACGCGGGGACGACGTCCTCGGCGACGTAGATCTTGCCGTTGTCGCCCATGACGGGGTCGAGGACCCAGAAGAAGCGGCCGGGCGCGTCGCGGTTCTTGACCTTGAGCTCCTTGGCGATGTTGCCGACGGCGACGACGGCCTCGGCGCCGGGGATGTAGCCCGAGAGCATCATGTCGAAGTCGTCGAGGTACGACTGCCGCAGCCCGTCATACAGGTCGGTGATTTCCTTGGCCGAGACCTTTGTGCCGGTCCATTGCCGATATCCCGTGTGGTTGCCTGGTGGTGGTGGTGGTGGCAGCTGTCAGCAGTCTGCTTGTTTGGATGCGCCAGCCACAGGGAGGCAGGGCGGCGGCTGCGGCAACGGCGGGTACTATGCCGGAGCCGCGACGAAGAGAAAGAAACTCACTGAACTGCACCGTGTTGAGGGCGGCGACGTCGCATCCCAGCGACTGGAGGACGAAGACGGCGATCTTGTTGCCGACGTACCTGCAGCGTGGCGACGCCGTCAACAGCTGGCGCTCTCGGTCGCATGCGCCGTGGAGAGCGCGCATGGACATCGGGACAAGGGGCCGAGGCTATCATCACTCACCCTGACACTACCTGCAGAATGCAGAATGCGACGTCAGCATGGAGACCCCGGGCAGCAGGGCGGCACGGTCGGGGAGACGCACATGGCTGGCGACGGCGAGAACCCGCGTGGCGGGTATGGAGGGGCTCGCCGACATCGCGAATGCGCGCGTACTCGTAGTTGGTGCGCGTTGGATGTGACCGGGGGGCGTGGGCGCTGCCGGTCTGTTCGCGCGGGGGAGGGGGAGGGGGAGGGGAGAAGGAGGACTGCCGTCGTCGTCGTCGTCGCCGTCTTGTCTCAGCCTGGTCTATCGGTCTATCGGTCGGCCGGGTCGGATGCGAGTGAGTGAGCGCGTGAGTAATGTGAGTGAATGAGCGGCAAAGATGAAGGCTCGCTGTTTGGACGGACGGCAGAGGCAAAAGGTGAGAGCAGGGCGAGTCACAGTCGGGTCAGTAGTCACTGGAGGTGGTTTGCGACAGTGCCGCCGGCATCCGCAGCGACGACCGGCACGGCGCGAGTGACGTCCGCGCGATGCGAAATGATAAGGTAATGAAATAGAAAAACCCTGCCAACGCAACGCCGCCGGCCGGCAAAGGGCGCGGCGCGGGCGGCCGACCGGCAGGCTTGAGGTGCCTGGCTGTGCCTGGTCCGTGGGACCGGGGGGACGGATTGGGGATCGAAATGTGGATGCGGATGGGGAATGGGCAGCGGCCGGGGCTCTCTGTGGCCGGCCCATGCGGGCGTTCGTTTAGGTGGTCGCGCGACCCGGGTGCACGTGAGCCAGGCATCTCTGTAGCGTGCTCAAGACTCAAGAGGGCTCTCATTCGTTCTCCAGTCACATTGGTCGCCGCGGCTCCCTCGACTACAGCTGTCGAGCCCATCTCCCCGCCGTCTTGCAGTCTCCAACCTCAACCCACTGTCCGTCAGTAACCACGACCATCAGGTCGTCCTGAGTACTTTCTCCTGCATCAAACCGGGCTCTGTCGCCAACTTCCCGAACGGCTGGAGAAATCCCAGTGGAATTCTCCTAGGGTCTGATGATCTCAAGGCCGGTGAAGTTGCCTGCAGTTGCCGTCGGCCGCCAACGGGCTACGATGGTAACCTGGACGTTATATTTGAGGATGCCAAATGTGACCGATGGCATCGAGTTAGTCGCCAAAGCTAACTTGCTTGCTGATGATCCTGGACCACATCGAGCCGAGTAAGTTGCTTCGACTGCCCAAGGACCATCCATGGCCGTAGCAGTCCCAGGGTATATTATTGGTTCAAAACTCGTACAGCGGCCTGTATATCGGACCTTGTTTGTGTTGACCGGGAGTAATGGACGACTTGCAAGAGGCGATCGAGGTGGCTTGACGCGGCAGCAGCCACCGCGCCAGGCGGCCATCCGACCGCGCAAGATGGTCTATGAACCTCGAGATTCTGCTCGAGATTCGGTATGAACGAACTGGAGCGATGGATAATCTAGGATAACCATCCCTCTTCAAGTCGCCGACTTCCTTTACCGCGCCAACCCCATAACCCACCACCCTAACACATGGTTATCGTTTGCGGAATCACATGATCGTAAAGCTCAACATTTGTGCTCCAACTCTTGTCCGTCCAAAAGTACGTTATCATGACGTCTAGAAACGACGCTAGAACCTCGCGGCCACTGAATTGACGATCAGGGCACAAGGGAACCTCGTAGTCCATGATCTCGTCGGTATCGGCCGGGGTGAGGGTCGTACTACTGTCATCAGTGTTACTGGTCACAGTAGCGTACTTGGCACCCTTCTTTCTTGAAATGCCGCACCGCTTCATCAATTTGGTGCAATCTAGGATATTGCTGCGGCAGGTTACCCTGGCCTGCAACAAATCCCAATTCTTGGGGTCTCCAAAGGCTCTAGCCAGATCGCCAAAGAGATCAGGGAATATCAACATGGCCCAGGTGAGGTCAGGGGTCTTGCGGAGCGACCGTGATGCCTTGGCCACGGCGACCATGTCCCCGACGGTGTAGTAGGCATAGGTGTGCGTTCTGACGTGCTGGAAGTTGTTGCAGAGTCTCATGGCGTGGCGCAGGAGTGTGTCATCTTCTTGGGGGTCTGGCCACTCCGCCAGGTCCGAGTCCTTGGGGAAGATGCCGTTTTCCTTCTCAGGGTCGTCGCATACTGCTTCCACATGGGTATACACCTCGTGGACATCCGAGACCAGCCAATTGGTTGGTGTGAAGTAGAAGCCGTCCGGCTTGAGGAGCTGCATTGCTTCCTTCATGAGCTCGAGGAGCTCCCGGCCCATGAAAAGGTCGCCTAGTCTGTACGGGAACGTCTCTCGGTTGACTTCCGAGTGCTCGACAAAGACACGGCCGTATTCGTGGCAGGAACTCGTGTCTAGGCCACGGCTGTCAGCGAGCTCGCCCTGGACCACAACCGAGAGCAGCCCTTGCTGCGGAGTGAGGAGCTCCATCTTTCCGAGTTCCTTTTCGCGCATTCTCTGGAGGAGATCCTTCAAGGGCCCTTCGATGCTGAGATCCGGGTCTGTTTGCGATTTCGATCTTGCACGGTTTGGATTCCGTAGCGTCTTCATGGCATCTTCTTGGGAAGACGTTTGCATCAACTCGTCAAAAAGCGTATCGTCCTCTCTTCTCCTGCGGTCGAGGTCGGCCAGCGGAACAGGCAAGGCCGTAGCCCCAGGCTCCGCTGCTGGGGAACCCGTGGCCTTTGTCGTTTTAACTTTTCGAGCCTCTTGAGGTTCGGCCATGAGATCATCAAACTCTTTCTCACTGTTGTTCTCCAGCTCCTTCGGGGTGCGCTTCGTGACACGTTTGGTGGCACGGCTGTCGACGCCTCCGAGGTAGAGGGCCCTGCGCTTCTCGAGCATGAACCCGTTGGTGGACCGCCACAGCCGCGCAATCAGGCAGTGAGGTTCCGGGGTCCAGGGCTGCGTGCCGTAGAACTCATGCAGCTCCGGAGGAAGCTGGTTAGCAATGTCGGCCCTCCTCCGGAACTCGACAACACAGCCGTTAAGACCTTCGCGGAACTGGAGCCAACCCAGCGGGCCTGACCACTGCATGGGGAGCTTCATGGGCTCCTTGAAGCTGGGGCGCTGCTCGAATGACTGGAATCCCAACATGGCGCAGATCCCAACTAGGTCCTTGCCCGCCCACCGCATGGGGACGATTCCGTTGACCAAGGTGGGCTGGGCGCTCATGTGGTAAAACTTGTCGTGTTAGGGCTGGAGACCGAGCGCCTCGACAAAGTTGACCCAGCCCGCCTTGGCCAGGGCCTTTTCCGTGTCGACATCTCCCAGCGGTGAGGTAGAATGCGCGCTCGAGGGAAAGACAAAATTTGGTGTCCAGTCTCGCTTCAGGAGCATTGCCAGGGTAATGGTTGGCGTGCTGATTTCTTGTTGCTGCCGGGTGTGTAAGTGTCACTGGCAGGACCGAAGCAAACCAGCGTTTAAGCTACACGCACCAGTCCAAGTAGCTGTTTCTTCTTGACCTTGTCATGCCACGGTCCTAGGGTGTCCTGAGATAAGCCCATCTGGTAAGCGCGGTGCTCCGTAAGCAGCTGTCTTGCAGCGACGTAGACGGTGGTGACGGTGATGATGCTGATGGTGGCGGCGATGACGGAGCTGATTGCCGAAGCCCAATCGGTAGCGGAGGTGTCACCCATCGTCGTTGTTGGCTGTGGCCTCGCTCGAACCTAGCAGTGAGTGTTGCTACAAGCCTTGGGGGACAGCCGTTGAGGGAGAGGGGGTTGGCAGGGATTTTGTTGTTCAAGGCAGACGAATCGATATCTTGCGCTTGAAGTTGGGAACCGATGACAATAATAGTCTCGTATGGACTTTCGCCCGTGCTGCCCAAGCCTCACTCCAGTCGTCGAGCACGGCGGAGGAGGGCCTTAGCCGCTTGCTTGAGGAGAACAGCTGCCAGCCTGGCATGTTGGGCGACTTTGGTATCCAAGGAGAGCGCGTTCGAGTGCTGATGTCTGGTTCGTCCTTGAACGGAGATTCATGTCGTCTGGTGGCGTGGCCATGCTCGACAAGCTGAAGCGTACGTCCAGATACTTTGGGATCTTCTGAACCGAGACAGAACATTGAACGGGGGAGTCGCAATCACAACTAACAACTGACAAGCATGTCTCGAAGCCGACCCCCGCGAGCTCCGGAACGGCTGCTGGGATGTTGCTGGGGTGGGATACATGTAGTGACCGGGGCCGGGCCGTATCCTAATACCTACTTCTCCGTACCGAATTTGAAGTCAAGTCGTAGGGGCACGCTCAGCTGTCGTCAACTGGCTGCCGGGCTTCGACACTCTCGTCACAACTTGCATCCTTTGTGCATATGCAGAAGGAAGTCCGGTGTGACGAAGTCTCACAGCCCTTGCTTCACGCTGCGGCTTGTGCGGTGCACCGGATCTCGTTCCCCGCCCATATGTGCGTCAAGTTGTGCCAATCGTTTTCGAGGCCGTTGAACGCTGCGATCGGCAGAAGTGGCTGGGTCTCGGCAGCATCTCGGTATGCACTGTACGAAGTACATATGGCACCAACATCCCACGGCGCGGGCCGCGCGCCACCAAGATTCAAATGCGGCAGTCAAAACGCTGTGATGAAGACGCCACGGCGCCTCTGACCCTGGGCTTCCACCTGCATGTTCGTACCGTTCCAGCCAGTCATTGATTTGCCGCCTGCGGTGAGGTGATTTATCCGGCCTGAAGGGACAGGACATGTCTTGTTGTCTTGGTTCGCGCCCGGGGCCCATGATGCTTTCGGACTTCTCGGATTTGTTGATATCCTCAACATCTGTCTCATCGCATCATGCCATGTACGTTGGTTGTGATGCTCAGCGCTGTGGTCCAAGGGGCTGAAGCTTTGCACCTAACAGTCAATAGCATCCCTAGCTCCCGGATAATGATCATCCTCAGCTACGCCAAATAAGCCAGCCAACTTTGCTTCTTTCGTTTCAGCTCGTACTTCCTACCAGACCTTCAGGGATGTCGGCGTGGCTGGAGCGACAACAGCTCGAGTTGCGGTAGAATCAGCATGTAAGAGCTGGGCACACGTGCCCGGGCGTGGCGGAGGGTTCACGTGGCGCTGGGTGCGGGAGATAACTTATATCCTAGCGACTCGCCGGCGTGTCGCTAATTAAGCCCTCTAAGCTTTAGTCTCTAACTGATCGTAGTAATAATATATATAGCCCGTTTGTGTAGCGATTACCTCTTTTATTAAGTAAACTCTGAGTGTGTGGAACACAACTATGACCTACTGTTGAACGTGCAGCTCGTGCAGCTGGTCGCCAGTTCAGGGGAAGCTGAATGCTGGACGGGCAGATGACGCTCTGCATTCCATGACGGGAGGGACCCCGGACTCCTCTGGCGGGGGAGCTGGCGCTCAGCTCTCCAAGTTCCGGGGTTTGCTGCGAGTCGCCCAGTTTCATCACATCCCAGCATAAGCGCGGACGACTGGCTGTGTCAAACCAGACACGGCGTTGTACTGATGCAGCTTTTCCAAAGACCCAGTCAGATGCAGTGTGACAGACCCTGAAGGAATGGCAAAAGAACCGACCTGCGGATGTGATACGCGTCAGCCACGTTGAATTAGCATCAAGGCCTGGTGCGGGGACCTGTCAACTGGGGGCCCGTTGGCGAGCGAGGAGAGGGATCGCCGACGGCGAGGAGAAAAACGATGATGGCGATACAGAACAACGCGGTTGTGACTCGTTGGATTCCTCTCCGCCAATGGATTTGGGTGCAGGCTGAAACTACCGACAGCTTATGTTACATGTGCAATCATTTGTCGACACAGACATGACCGTTGAAAGTGCCTCGGATCGGGCGGCGCCTGCTGCCAACTACCACTCACTCTCCCCGAAACCCGCACATCTACATGTGCTTCACTCTAAGACTTCAAGAGTCAGCCATCCCCACATATCTACTAATCCTATGGAGTACATGAGACCAATATCCACCAAACCAAATATCCTCAAATATTTACCACAATGGCTCATCGTTCGCCTCCTGCGTGGAGGGCCAGCTTCGACGATGTCGACCTGGGTCCGCAGGTTGCCGGCACCAATCCGAACTCGGATAACCGACTGCTCCAGCCCAGACCCTCTCTACTGCAGCCCAGACCGTCCCTACTTATGCGCAGACACACGCTGCCGATCTCTTCCGTGCCCCCAACCCCAACGGGATCACGATCCCCCACTCCGGATGGGCAGCAGGACGGCGAAGACAAAGACGGTTCGGACGGGGACGACATCGATTCCAGCCTTGACCTGAGTTCGGCACTATCTGCGTCAGACTCGGATGATGAGGAGAGTGAAGATGACTGGCGCGTGGGGGACAAGAGCAATACAGTCACAGCAAAACTCGACATGCTGGTTGGCCTCAGCACAGTAAAGGACTACTTCAGGGAGCTTGGGCTATACATCGACCACAATAGGATCCTCGATGTAAATTTAGCACACGAGAGATTCCACGCCATGTTCCAAGGGAATCCGGGAACGGGTCAGTCATCAAATTCGTTCCGGTTTGGTGGGCCATACTGACCTCACCATGGCCTGCAGGAAAGACAACCGTTGCGAGGCTCTACGCCGAGTTCTTGTATGCGAAGCGTGTGTTGAAGACGAGCCATGTGGTTGAAACATCGGGAGGCAAGCTGGCGTCGCGCGGCCCCAACGCCGCAATCCAGATCTTTACCCCAAAGAAGGGAGGTGTACTGTTCGTGGACGAGGCCTATCAGCTCGTCGCACCTCACTCGGGTAGCTCTGGAAAGCAAGTGCTGGATATCATTCTCGCCGAGATGGAGAAACATGCTGGAAAATGGGTCGTCATCTTTGCCGGCTACAAGAACGACTTTGATCCCTTTTTCGCGTACAACGAAGGTCTCGGCAGCCGAATCCCATTAGTACTGGACTTTGCGGATTTCACCGACGACCAGCTGTACGACATCATGCTGTCCCTGTTCCGAAAGCGGTTCCCAAACGTCGTGGAGATTGAAGGTCAATCCCAGGGAGGGGTGTACTTGCGCGCGGCCATCCGCCGAATCTCCCAGGGTCGCGACAGGCGCGGGTTTGGCAATGCCCGGACCGTCCAGAACTATTTCCAGAGAATCTGCCAGCGCCAAGCCAACCGAATCGGGCAGCTTGAGCATCCGTCAAGGAAAGCACGGCTTCATTTCACCAAAGAGGATATCCTTGGGCCTAGGCCGGTTCATGTCAAGGCCAACAGCAAGGCGTGGGCTAAGCTGAAGTCGCTGATCGGCTTGAGCGCGGTCAAGCGATCGGTGCGTATCATGTTCCAGATCATCGAGACCAACTATCAGCGGGAGCTCAACGGCGATCGGCCCCATGCCCACTCCTTGAATCGTGTGTTTGTCGGCTCGCCTGGAACAGGAAAAACTACAGTTGCCAAACTGTACGGCAAGATATTGGCGGACCTCGGCTTTTTGAGCAAGGGAGATGGTACGTCACTCCAAGAATGACTTCCAAGAAAATCCTCATCCGTTCAACAACGTTCGGGGTGGTGTTGTGAAGCAAAACTTGCTTTTCTACTCTGGACACACCTCCAAGCAGACAGAAAAAGCTAACTCTACGTGAACCAACCGCAGTGGTCGTCAAGACCCCCGCCGACTTTATCGGCGACGCTGTGGGTAGGTCAGAGTCCAACACCAAAGCCATTCTCGCCTCGACGATCGGAAAGGTCTTGATCATCGACGAGGCTTACATGCTCGATCCCGGCGATCCCACCAGCACGCGCGACTCGTACAAGACGGCCGTGCTCGACAGCATTGTTGCCGAGGTCCAAGGCAACCCAGGCGACGACCGCTGCGTCATCCTGCTTGGCTACGAGGAGAAGATGGAGTCTCTGTTCCATAACGGAAACCCCGGGCTGTCTGGCCGGTTCATGGCTGACATGCCGTTCCGCTTCGCCGACTATAGCAACGACGAGTTTCGCCAGATCCTGGAACGGGACCTCAAGGATCGGCATATCAAATGCCAGCCAGACGCACTGAACTCTGCTATCGACATGCTTTCGAGGTACAGAAACGCCCACAACTTCAGCAATGCACGGGCGGTCAAGACGCTTGTGTCGGAGGCGGTGCTGCGCAACCAGGAGCGGCAGATGAAAAGCAACCCCGTCAACCAGGTGTTTGACGGGCGTCTTGAGCCTCAGGACTTTGACCCGTGGCTCGGTGAGTGGGCGGCGTCGTCGGGAACACCCATCAACTGCAGGGCAGCCCTCTCCGGCCGGGTCTCGGACGCAGTCATTGACCAGCTGGAGGCATTCCTCCCCGGCTCGCAAGTGCCTGGCCAAGTGAACCGCGACAAGCTCCGCCAAAACATCCCCCGCACCTTTGTCTTCACAGGCCCGCCTGGAACTGGGAAAAATACGCTGGCCATGTACATGGGTCGGCTATTCCGCGATCTCGGTCTCCTTCCCACCGACCAAGTCGTCAAATGTTCGGCTGTGGCTTTCATCGGGCAGCACGTCGGTCACACTACCCCAACGACTCGCACCCAACTGGATCGAGGCGTCGGGAAGGTCCTTGTCATCCAAGACCTCCATCGGCTCTCCAAGGGCGGGTTTTCAGGAGAGGCCCTCGACGAACTCACCTCTTTCCTCCGCACCTACTCCGGGAGAATGGCCGTCATCCTCACTGGGCCCAAGGAACCCCTCGACGATCTGTTGCGGGAACGGCCGGAGCTCTCCACATCCTTCCAGGACCGCATCACTTTCAACAACCTCTCGCCGCGCGAGTGTCTGATGCTGCTACATCAGAAGATCCAGACCATCGAGCCTGGCGGAGAAACCCCCTTTTCCGCCTCGGACGCCGCCAAGGCGAGATTCCAAAAGGCCATGGCGATCCTCACCTTGTTTGAGCGCTGGGGCAACTCGCGCGACGTGGACTACCTGGCGGTGCGCATGGTCCGCAAAGCCGACGACGAGCTCATGCAGCGGAACGCTCGAGAGCCTGGGCGCAAGCACGAGTGGGTTCTCACCGAGAACATGGCTATGGCGTGCTTCAAGGCCATGTTCCACGACACGCGCGCGGCTGGTGGGGCGCTCGTGAAGACTGCGGTCGAGGATACAAGTGGTGGTAGTGGCGGAGGCGCCGCGTCGCATTCAGCGGCGGAGACGACAGAGCCAGACGCGGAGGCTACAGAAGCGGTGACGGAGACTACAGCCGTTGCGGAGCGGAAAGAGTACGCGTTGGCTCTGGCGACAGATCGTGAGGCCGTGCAGTCTCAGGAGGAGCAGTCGGCTCCTCAGGAAACGTCGCCAGCTCAGGAGGCCGCACCCCAGGAAAGCATCCATGCTGAGGTGCAAGAACTAGAGGAGGTTTAACAGCAGAATGCTGGCGAACAGGAAGCTCAGGCCGAGGATGAGCAAGAGGATGAGCAAGAGGATGAGCAAGAGGAGGAAGAGCAGCGTCAAAAGGATGACCGGTGTCCGCGCTGTGGCAGGTATCACTCTTAGCAGATGATCGGTGACGTTTCGAACGAACCGTACATGTACTGTCGCTACACATTAACATGAAACCCGACACAAATCTCATCAACGCTTCTTCAATGTCTGCAAGTGATTGGCTGGGGATCTGTGAGTCGTGCTCCGAGCCGATATTTCCAAACAGATATTGCGCAATACGATGGGCAGTCACTGTAGAAACATGTGCATTCTTCACAGTAATTCGAATTGCACGTCCCTAGCTATCTGTCGTTCGGCCTTCCGTTCTTTTAGCCGCGTTGGCTGCTCCCCGGCGGAATGCTTTCGGCCCAAGAGGCTCTTCGAACTCGGCGTCAAGCGCTTGGTACCCCTCATATCAGGCCGCGGGCGACCTTGACAACTGAACGTTGCAATTTGTGGTCACCAAGGATTTCAGGTGCGTGGCCCTGTTGATACCCTATTGAGAGGAGCTGATGGCTTCGGCGGCGCTGCAACCAGTCTTCTGTGTAGAGAAACAACGCCAGTTTAAGTGCCTACCTACCAGACCTCACAACAGACGGAGAGCTGCTTAACAGGCTCCAATCGCGCGCCCAGGAGAGCGGCCCGTAAGCCACATGCAGACAGTCGCTTGACTGGTGCCCGGCTCAACGTCGACTGTGCCACGACGGCTTGGCGCAGTGCAATTACAACTTACGTTAGTCCAGTCATGCGTCTCAGTCGATTACATAAAGGAACTCTAGTACCATCGCTACTATATCGTGGCTTTTCATGCTGCGGGAAAGTTCAAGTGCCTTCACTAGGAGCCTTGCGTGGACGCCACGCCCAGCTACTCAAGGACAGCCAAGGCGTCGTCAATGTCATGGCACTGGGCATTTCACTGGCGCACAAATCAGTCACCATAAAGCTCGCGACACTTACAATGAAAGATGGAGTCTCAATCACTCACTCAATGCCTTGGCAGGCGTATACTGCTTGGACGCCATGCTACCGACTACATGCACGGTTGTTACCAGCACAGAGCATGGAGCTTGAGTCGAGGCGAACAAAGTACAGTGAAATTCAATGGTAAATAGAATCTGAGACCGCGGAC